CGTTGCAAAGAGTTCTGAACCTGCACCCAAGTGGAACGGAGTTCCCTGAGATGTTCCTCCAATGCCGGTATCCCTTGTGGCATGAACGTATCAGGCAATATGGACGGTTGAAAGCCATAGTTCGCCAAGAACGGGGATAGCCGGGAAGAGGCATTAATCGCACTATTGTGGGCAAACTCCGCCCAGGGTAGCAGATCAGACCAGTTGTTCTGGTGGTCAGAAATGTAGCAACGCAGAAACTGTTCCAGTGTTTGGTTAGCTCGTTCCGCGGCACCATTGGATTGCAGGTGGTAGGCAGAGGAGAAGGAGAGCTGAATTCCCATTTGAGTACAAAAAGCTCTCCAAAATCTGGACACAAACTGGCTACCCCTATCTGAGATTATCACTTTGGGTAACCCATGCAAACGAAAGACATCCCGAGCAAAAATTGTTGCAAGTTCCTGAGAAGTTGGTAGTTTTTTCAAGGGAATGCAATGCGACATCTTTGAGAATCGATCAACAACCATGAGAACGACTGTATTGCCACGGGAGACCAGAAGATCTACGATAAAATCCATGGACAAGTGGGTCCAGGGTCGTTCACCATTAGGTATGGTTTGCAGGAGACCCACTGGAGGGTGTCGTGGGGTTTTATTTTGAGCGCATACAGGACAGGCAGCTACAAAAGCAGTGACATCCGAACGGAGACTAGGCCACCAAAATTGCCGAGAGACGGACCAGATTAATTGGTTTTTGCCTGGATGTCCAGCTGCTTTGGAGTTGTGATAAGTACTTAATAATTTAGTACGGAGATGGATAGGTACAAAACAACGGCCATTAGGTTTCTCTGGAGGAGCATTACTTTGTGCAGCCAGAATCTCCTTGCCTGGGTGTGAGGTGAGGCTAGTACGGATGGTGGCCAGTATATGATCCGGAGGAATCACAGGAGTAGGGGTTATCTCCTCTCTAGATGGAGGGGAGAACTGTCAAGACAAGGCATCAGCCTGAATGTTTTTAGTACCGAGCAAGTAAGAAACCACATAATTGAATCTTGATAGGAAGAGAGCCCATCTAGCTTGCCTGGGGGAAAGTCGCTTAGCTTCGGAAAGATATGTCAGATTCTTGTGGTCTGTGAGGATGAGAATTGGCACTGAAGTACCCTCAAGAAGGTGCCTCCATTCTTTGAGAGCTAATATTATGGCTAGAAGTTCTCTATCACCAATCTGGTAATTGCATTCCGCCGGGTTTAATTTCTTCGAGAAATACCCGCACGGATGCCTGGAGCTCTCTGGGTTAGGACGTTGAGACAGGAGGGCGCCTACTCCTGTCTCAGACGCATCGACTTCAAGAATGAATGGTAAGGCAGGGTTAGGGTGTGCCAGTATAGGAGCAGCAGCAAAGGCGACTTTGAGAGACTCAAAGGCAGAAATGGCTTCCTGTGACCAATGCTGTGGATCAGCATCTCTCCTGGTCATATCCGTGAGTGGTTTAACCAAGGAGGAAAAGTTGCGTATGAACTTCCGATAATAATTGGCGAAGCCAAGAAAACGCTGTATAGAGCGAAGACCCGTAGGTCGAGGCCATTTTAGTACAGCAGAAAGTTTTTCTGGGTCCATAGAGAATCCAGCATCAGAGATAACATAGCCCAAGAATGTGACCTGTTTGCAATTGAACTCACATTTCTCCAATTTACAGAACAGATTATTTTCTCTAAGTCTCTGTAGAACACTAGAAACGTCTGCGTGGTGGTTCTCGAGAGATGTGGAATGGATAAGAATATCATCAAGATAAACCACCACACATTGCTGCAGCATATCTCGCAGGACGTCATTTATAAATTCCTGGAAAACCGCCGGAGCGTTGCAAAGACCAAAGGGCATTACTAGGTATTCGTAATGCCCGCTCCTGGTGTTAAATGCGGTTTTCCATTCGTGGCCCTCTTTTATCCGGACGAGATTATATGCCCCTCTCAGATCAAGTTTAGTGAAGACCGTTGCTCCCTTGAGGCGGTCAAATAACTCAGTGATCAATGGAATGGGGTAGGCATTCTTAATAGTAATGCGATTGAGACCCCTATAGTCGATACAGGGTCTCAACTCACCACTCTTCTTTTTCACAAAGAAAAAGCCGGCCCCGGCAGGAGAAGATGACTTCCGAATGAATCCCTTTGACAACGCATCAGTAACATACTCCTCCATGGCTCGATTCTCTGCTACAGACAGCGGGTAAACCCGTCCACGGGGAGGATTGGCACCAGGTTGGAGTTCGATACCACAGTCATACGGACGGTGTGATGGCAGAACGCTAGCTTGACCTTTGTCAAATACATCTTGAAATTCTTGGTACTCAGCGGGTAAGGAAGAGGCAGAAATTGTGCCCAAAACTTTGACCGGTTTCCGGAGACAGGAAAATGTGCATTGCTGGGACCAAGATAATATCTCAGATTTGCGCCAATCAATTGTGGGGTTATGCTTCTGTAGCCAAGGGTATCCTAAAACAACCTGGTAGTAAGGAGAGGAAATGACCTGGAATTGGATCATCTCATGATGTAGAGCCCCTACAGCCAGAGATATGGGTATGGTTTCCTGGGTCACGAGGGCTGGCTGTATAGGTCGGCCATCGATGGCTTCGAAAGCTAGTGGGGAGTTGCGAGGCTGTAAGGGTATAGAGTGCTCTGATGCAAATGCACAATCTATAAACAAGCCTGCGGCCCCAGAATCAAGAAATGCCCGGGTTTTAATGGATGACTCCGGCCAGGAGAGGATAATAGGCACCAAGGGTTTGTCCTTATTTATCTCTGGGTCTGCAGAAAGACCCCCCAAGATCTGCCCCTGACAGTATCTTGGGTACGGGCCCTTTACCGGACGAATCGGGCAAAACTTTAATATGTGACCGTGGTGTCCGCAGTATAGGCACAGGCCCTCCCTCCTCCTAAAGGCTCTCTCCTCGACAGAGAGGCCTGAGAAGCCTAACCGCCTCGGCTCCACACCGACAGAGGACTCAGGGCCAGGAGGCATGGGAGGTGAGGGAGGTTTGGGTGGGCAGGAAAAGCTCGGTGCCAAACATACTGGAGGCCTCCGCAGGCTGGACTTTGTCGCTGTCTGTAGGAAATGCCTGGGGCAGCATTTCAAGGTATCCTTTAACCTGATTTATAAATTCTTTGCACTGAGCTGGGTTGCCCCCAAAATACTGAGGGAGCGGGACAGACCCAGTCATTCCTCTAGCCGCAACAGGTTTGGAGGCTACAACCGGTGCTAGAACAGGAAGTGAGGCAGAGGCGGCCGCAATCGCAGGCTGGCCGGGTTTTGGATTCAGATTGGCATACTGGTCCAAATGGTGGTTCTGCTGGTCCCACCGGGTAAATAGGGTAGTTGTGATGCTTTTGTGTAATGTCTCTTTAATTGGAACTCAACTGCAGAAACAATAAGGTTCACCTCCTTTATTTTATTGAAGTGAACAAGGTAGACTGTATCTTTAAATACACATGCAAGGAAAAATGCAATGCTTATTTGTCAACAGAGAGTTTAAAGAAATTAAATACTATAATAAATTTATATGACTTGCTTTCCTTGACAAAAGATTTACTTAACTTAGAAGCACTCTGGCACTGGAAGGGTTAATTCACCCAATGGAGGAAGAGGAAGGAGTCTCTTTTAACAAACTGCAGTTTAGTAGTGAGAGAAAGGAAGTCCGTTTGTCCAAGCCGAGGTCTGAGAGATGAGAAGGTAGAAATCCGTTTACAATCCGAGGTCTGGGAGAGGAGAAGGCACATAGGCGTGCGCACGGGGTGTGCCGGGTGTGCCTGGGCACACCCTAATCCCCGTGCGCACCCCTATGGTTTGAGTCCTGCAGGAACAGCGTTCCTGCACTCTTTTGAGCAGGAACGCTGTTCCTGCAGGCACTCAGTGTCCCCCGTCTCACCTCTTGCCACTGTCATGGGAGGGCAAGAGGTGATGATTCCCCCCCCCCACCCTGCAGCTCAGCGCGCGGCGAGGGAGCTCTCTGCTCTCTGCTCCCTCTCGCCGCGCGCTGATGCCGGGAGCCGGAATATGACGTCATATTCCGGCTCCCAGCTCGAGCAGACAGCCCGCGCGGCGAGAGGAAGCAGAGAGCAGAGAGCTCCCTCGCCGCGCGCTGAGCTGCAGAGAGGCGCCCGCCCCCACTGGACCCCAGGGACAAGTCCACCAGCACTCCAGGTAGGAGGCTGGGTGGACATTTAAAAAAAAAATTAAAATATAATAATTTGTGTGTGTCTGTGAGTGTGTGAGTATGTGTCAGTGTGTGTGTGTGTCAGTGAGTGTGTGTCAGTGAGTGTGTGTGTGTCTGTGAGTGTGTGTCTGTGAGTGTGTGAGTATGTGTGTGTCTGTGAGTGTGTGTGTATGTCTGAGAGTGTGTGTGTATGTGTCTGAGAGTGTGTGAGTATGTGTGTGTCAGTGTGTGTGTGTCTGTGAGTGTGTGTCTGTGTGTGTGTGAGTATGTGTCTGTGAGTGTGTGTCAGTGTGTGTCAGTGAGTGTGTGAGTATGTGTCAGTGAGTGTGTGAGTATGTGTCAGTGTGTGTCTGTGAGTGTGTGAGTCTGTGAGTGTGTGTCAGTGAGTGTGTGTGAGTATGTGTGTGTCAGTGTGTGTGAGTGTGTGTGTCTGAGTGTGTGTGTGTTTCTGTGAGTGTGAGTGTGTGTCTGTGAGTGTGTGTGTCTGGGAATATATATATATATACGTATATATATATATATGGATATATATATATATATATATATATATATATATATATATATATATACACACACACACACACACGCTTGGGCATGGTTAGTTTTAGGTGCACACCCCTAATGCAATAGGCCTGCGCGCCTATGAGAAAAGAGAATTAGGGATTATTCTAGGTGAGGAATAATCTAAATTTTATTAAAGACAGGAGGCGAATATTTGCTTTACCTTCTTTACTGAAACCTCCAGCAGCAAAGAAACAGTTAACAGAACTTTTCAAAACAACCAATCAGAACAAAGCAACAGTAGTATAAAACCCTAAGCAGGCTCTTCCACTTCCTCTTTCTTTGATGAGGTCGAGCAGGAGAGCAAGGAAACCAACGAATCCACCTTGTAGCAGACACGTCCAGAGAAACAATCGTCAAGCCCAGAGAGAAAACAGATTACACTGCAAGAAAACAGAAAACATCGTGAAAGTAAACTGTCAAGGCAAGATGTCATATCCATACAATATCACTTTCACATCATAATACCTGATGAATAAACAAAGTCTACAGATCTTATGAAGACCTAGTATGTACCTAAGCTAAAAGGCATTGACAAAACATAATTACAACACAAACATGATGAATAAAACGCACACGGACAACCATCACTGAATATTAGAAATAACCTTTATTATGTAAAACCATGCATTCACAAAACATAACAATATCCCCAATTATTTCTAATAGAATAAAACTCAGATCCAGGGAGGGAACGTAAAAAAAAGGGGGGGAAATATTCGCCTCCTGTCTTTAATAAAATTTAGATTATTCCCTCACCGAGGCTAGAATAATCCCTAATTTTATGGCAGGACAGGAGGCTTCATATTTGCAATTTTAACGCCCAAATAGAAGAACCAGAAGCAATATGAGATAGAGGACTGAAATAAAGGAGAATGGAAAAACTGATTCCCTAAACCAAGCAGCGGTGTAGAGAAAATGCAGAAGGGACCGAACGGCTTCCAAAATTGTTGAGGTGACAGCACCCCGAACCAAAAGTGTCCCAGAGGAACTCAAGGTCAGTCAATGAGAGGATCCACCAAATCCAACGGGTGAGCGAAGATGCAGAAACAGTCCAAAACGGCTGTATGCAGAAATAAACAGCTGTCCATGAGTAGATGGACGAAAGAACCAGATCCTGGATCTACATGGTCGTGTACAATCTGTCAACAGAGCCGTGGCCTATCCGGAGAATAGGGGTACGACACAGAGGACGAATAAAAATGAAATATGTGTGGAGCAGAAGCCGATGTACTGAACGGCAAGAAGGAAGAAGACACGTCGATACCATGACGTCAGAACGCGATGAAATACAAGATGTACTGGGGGGAAACCGTAAGCGGAAAAAACTGGTGCACCTTGTCATCAGGTCATTCCTCAATGAAATGCAGAACACACAATACCACTAGACTTGAGGAATAGCGAGAGATAGGGCTCCCGTACAGTATACTCCTCTTGGTAGTCTGCAGACCAAGAGATCCTAGCAATGCCAGAATCTTGAGAAAACGCACATGAGTCGTCCACTAGCTGACATAGAACGTGAATGGCCCCATACGATCCTACCCTGAGAGGGCAACTCAGCCAGACAATGGGGACAGCCATGATAAGGACCGCCATTGGGACCCAAACACCAGTCATGGCAGGCTACCCCTGTGGATTCCACGTGGGACATTAAGAGACAGGGAGTCGTAGATTGCCTTCCCATGGCAAACTCCAGCAAAAAGGGGAAAGCACGCAGGACTCCTCCGAAGTGGTTTGGCCAGGCGAAACGACACTTCCAGGAATTCGGTCTGAAGCAAAACCCAAAGTATCCTGTAGGTAAACGGGATGCGTACGCCCCGAAGGAGACCAAGCTTGGAAAACTCGTCCCTCGCCGAGGGTCCGGCAGCCAGTTGGAGAACCGCTCCGTATGGCGGTTCGCACCGAATGTAATCATGCCAGTACTCAAGATCCTGGAGGGTGAGGCAACCAATCATTGGGGTCTCTCCATGGTCGGGTGAAGCCGTCCGCCACACTAGTGTCTCGTCCCGCATACATTCTGTCACAAATGATGAATACTTGTCCAGAAGCTATAGATAGCGATCCTATGTGAGATCCGACTGCAGTCCGTAGTGGGCAACCGGTGAGAAGTCCATACCAGAAGGTAGCGAGCAATACTGTGAATGTTGAACAAACCTGCAGGTAGTTCCATGCAGTTGGCGTAAAGGAGTCCCTCCTCCGGAGTCATCAATTAAGTTTTAGATGAGCTTCATCCGAAGGTCACATGATTTGGTCATACAAGGCCAAAGACCCGAGAAAGCGCCATGTTGGAGCGGCTGATAGTACCGGATCCTGGAGGTATGGCTTCCATGGCGAATAGGCACCGGTCAATTAACCGGGTTGGGCCCCTAAGTGTAACCCGCGGGTTGCAGAGTATATACTTGGTATTTTCCTTGAAGACGGACATCTTGGTCCACGGGAGGCGGAGCACCGCCTGGACCGAATATTCCATGAAAGACCGGAAACTGGGTTGACTGGGAGTGAGTCAGATTCAATATGTCCATGTTGATGGCAAAATCCATGCGGGTTTCTCTCATGTGCATTTGAGGGAGAGAACCAATCGTCAACGCCGAGCAGCTCTCAGATGGGATGAGTGCCCTCCGTCTCAAAATGTGTCAACAGACGACATATGCACTGGGAGCATGTAGCGTGGGGATGGGGCGGGAGTCCACTCCACTGCACCCTTTGCCCAGCAGGGCAACTGCGGAATGAGTCGGAATGGATGCCTCTTTTGGTCATGCGTATTGCTCATGGAACGGTCCAACCTTGATCTGGAGTCCGGGCACGGTCCGAGAGATCTCTGTGATTAGTTAAGGGGGAACCCTATGAATAGAGATGTGTCAGCTCAATTTGTACATGAGGGTAACTCCGGAGAGCAGACCCAGCACTTGGATGCTAAATCCATCAGTTTGATGTCCAGCTTGGACAGGGGCCGTTTTGCGGTTCTCAGGGGTAGAAACCAACTAGGCGATACCTATAAGTCATATCGGTCCATTCCCAGTGGGAATTTAGTCTTCTCCGCTTTCCAAGCGGTAACGCGCCGTTCGTCCCGAGCAAACATCTGTGTCCGTATGTCACTGACATCCACTGGTTAGTCCCAGATAGAGTGCAAACCCCGTGTCAGGTGTTTGCGGTGTCCTTTCCGGACTCCGTCATGAAGACTGATCCTCTTGATGAATCCATCCGTTAGCCAACGAGTACCTGGGGTGCTTGGTGTAGTATCTAGGATGGCCGGTGGAATGTTCCCGTAGGGTACCGATGGTTTCTGGCAGTGAGGTCAGCGGGGCGGCAAGAGGACAGGCCAAGTGACCTTCTGGGTACGGGAGATTTGTCCTTCAGCCGTGATTGCACAACTGCCATAGAGGTAACACTGTCGGAATGATACCTTGTGCGGCCAGCTGGGGGTCACCCAGCGTGCAAGAGGGGGTCACCCAACAAGCACAAGCATACCATGCAGTATAGGCCTGCAGGGGAGGGGGTCACCCTCAGTCTGAACATAATCGGACACTGTAGGTACAGTGGTGCGGCCAGCTGGGGGTCACCCAGCGTGCAAGAGGGGGTCACCCAACAAGCACAAGCATACCATGCAGTATAGGCCAGCAGGGGAGGGGGTCACCCTCAGTCTGAACATAATCGGACACTGTAGGTACAGTGGTGCGGCCAGCTGGGGGTCACCCAGCGTGCAAGAGGGGGTCACCCAACAAGCACAAGCATACCATGCAGTATAGGCCAGCAGGGGAGGGGGTCACCCTCAGTCTGAACATAATCGGACACTGTGGGTACAGTAGTGCCGAAGTGGTTAGCCATATAACAAAGTAACCAGACATTGCCGGTCCAGCAGTGTAGACGGCAGGAGGGGGTCACCCTCATATAACCAGAACCGGGCATTGCAGATCCAGCAGTGCTGTGGGTAAGAGGGGGTCACCCTCAGTGTGGTATCATAGAGGTCTGTACACCCAGCAGTGTAGTCAGCGAGAGGGGGTCACCCTCATTATGGTTATAATGGGACCCTGTAGGTCCAGCAGAGTAGTCCACAGGAGGGGGTCACCCTCGGTATCTGCGTATTGCAGGGCACTGTAAGAACAGAAGCTCAATCAGTGGGAGGGGTACCCTCTTTTATGGGAATACCCGGATGCTGCAGGTCCAGCATTGCAGACTGCAGGAGGGGTACCCCCTCGGTATGATAATAGCAGGACATTGCTGGAGCATTAATATAGGAAGCAGGAGGGGGTCACCCTCAGCATTAATCTTACAGGACGCCGTAGAGCCAGCAGGGTACTCATAGGTAGCCATGTTGCCAGAGGGAGGGGGTCACCCAGCCCACAATGGTGTCACACGTCCATTATTATGGTAGTAGCGGGTAGAGCCCCAGAAATATGGATGGGGGGGTTCACCCCCCCAATAATAACAGGTCTGAATGTGGGGCCAGTAGCCCCCCTGAGGGGTAGGAGGGTCCATATAGCGAGAAGCTGACTCACAGACCACTCAGGTATTATATTAGGATACACTTTTGAATTGTATGTGTAGTGGAAAATTTAAGTCCCTTGCAGGAAGGGCAGCAAATCCTAGGCAGGGGAGCTAGGTGCTGAAAAACAGGCCATTTAATTTTTATGTGAAAAAGACTGAACCTTAGAGGAAGACTTGATTAGCATATAACACATGTGGCATAGTCTTGTTAAACAAAGACTTTTATTTGAGCAGTAACATGTCCCTTTAAATCTGAGATTCACATGTAATAGTAAAAAAAAAAGGGTGACAAGTCTACTGCTAAGATAGAGAACCTAGTCACATTGCATCAGACATAGTAAGCTGCAGTTGTGAGCATGCCTGGGACAGATCCTGCTATCCAGGATCTGTTACATATGCAGCATGTGAGACAGGCACAGTAAGTAGAGGGATAGCTGAAAAACTGGGCTATCTCCCCTGATATAGGGAGAGAGGAGGGTGGCCACATGGCCAGCAGGCCAGTTCTTGGGTGAGACCTGGCTGTTCGCAACGCACAGAGCCCATGTGGCTCTGAAAAATGGCCGCCACGGCTCCAACAAAATGGCTGCCGTGGCTGCAAAAACAGAGCGCGGCCTACCGCGTGGTGATCGTGCGGCACTGCAAGTGGCCAGGGGCCACGGGGAGCAGGTGGGGAATAAGGGAGAAAAGGTATGGGCGACAGAGCCCAGCAGGGGAACCCGGGGAGGGGGAACAGATTACAGGCAGAGCCAAAGCATCATAGCAGGGGCACCCATTCCCCATACAGCAGAGTGAGAAAAACTGCATAAAGTAACCCAGAATAACAATAAATCAATGAGCAGTATCCAGAGTCTATCAGATAAATAGCCTAAATACAGCAACAGATGTTAACAAATAATAATGCAGCTACATAGCATGAAGTGGTATAGGAAATAACACAGCAATAGACTGCCTAGCTAAACCCAGCAATAGACTGCCTAGATAGACACAGCAATAGACTGCCTAGATAAAGACAGAAATAGACTGCCTAGATAAACACAGCAATAGACTGCCTAGATAAACCCAGCAATAGACTGCCTAAATAAAAGCAGCAATTAAGCTGCTTAAACAAACCTAACAAATAGACTGATTAAATAGACTGTTTAAATAAACAAGCAGCATGTAGGATAAACAAAACAACCAAGAGCAGAGACAACTCTGAGTTGGTGAGTGCTCACCTGGAGGCAGCAGCAAAGAAAGAGGAAGTGGAAGAGCCTGCTTAGGGGTTTTATACTACTGTTGCTTTGTTCTGATTGGTTGTTTTGAAAAGTTCTGTTAACTGTTTCTTTGCTGCTGGAGGTTTCAGTAAAGAAGGTAAAGCAAATATGAAGCCTCCTGTCCTGCCATAAAATTCCGTTTATAAGCCGAGGTCTGAGAGATGAGAAGGTAGAAACCGGAAGTGGGTTCCGGCGGCAGCATGAATGTTAGGTATACCTGACAGTACCCCCTTCTCATGGGGCATCCTCTGGGTGCACTTATTTCGGTTTAGAGGGGTAGCGTTTGTGAAAAGCATCAACTAATCTCTTACAAGCCGAGGTCTGAGAGATGAGAAGGTAGAAATCCGTTTACAACCCGAGGTCTGAGAGAGGAGCCGGTAGCATCGAGTAGAGCAGCTGATCTTACTGCCGCACCTGAGTGAATAATCCAGCCCTTTGAATCTGGCGCGGTCTTCCTAAGTATCGTGGAAAGACCGCGTCAGAAAAAAGGGCAGAGCTAAGCGCCGTGAACCCGGAAGTGGGTTCCGGCGGCAGCATGAATGTTAGGTATACCTGACAGTACCCCCTTCTCATGGGGCATCCTCTGGGTGCACTTATTTCGGTTTAGAGGGGTAGCGTTTGTGAAAAGCATCAACTAATCTCTTTGCATGAACATTAGATGTTCTTTTGAAGCACAATACATGCACAATTTTAGTTGTCTCCTTCTTATCCTTTCTTCCGAAGTAAGAGGGCTTCTTATTATACCAACTTCCATAGGTTCATTGTGAGGAAGAGATTTTTCAGGAAATTTTGGAGTAGTAAAATGTTTTCTCCAATTAGAAGTAGTAAGAACTTTTTCAGCCCTTCTTTCTCTTAGACGTCTGTCAATACTAATGGAAAGTTGAATCAATGCATTTAAGGTGGGAGGAAGTTCAATACAAGAGAGTTCATCTTTCACAGCTTCTGATAATCCGAGACGGTATTGATTGCGTAGTGTAATGTCATTCCATTGGGTTTCTGTAGCCCATCTTTTAAATTCGGCGATGTAATCTTCAACAGGTCTGTTCTTTTGGTGGAGAGTTCTGATGTTTAAATCAGCAGTAGCCTGTTTATATGGATCTTCATATAATAAAGACATAGCTTCAAAAAATTCATCCAGTGAATCTAGTATGGGATCATCATTCTATAAAAAGGAATGGGCCCAAGCCATAGGTTCACCTCTTAGAAAGGAAATTACTGAACAAACTTTTGACCTTTCAGTGAGGTAAGATCGAGGTTTCAAAGCTATCAGAAGTTTGCAAGAATTTAAAAACTCTCTGTACTTTGTTCTATCTCCATAAATTTTTTCTGGATTA